TTGATAAAAAAGGAAAACAACAGGCTTGGAGTCTACTACTAACTATTACGCTATATTACGTTAAATAAAATCCCCATATCATCACCACGAGCACCACCACCACAACAACCACAACCACAACAACAACACCACCACAACAACAACACCACCACAACAACAACCACCACAACAACCACCACAACAACAACCACAACAACAACCACAACAACAACAACAACCACAACAACAACAACCACAACCACAACAACAACCACAACAACCACAACAACAACAACCACAACAACAACCACAACAACAACAACAACAACAACAACGACAACAACAACGAACAGAACCACAACAATATTGCCATCAATTGCAACAAAGTCAGCCATGTCCAACTCGACTGCCAATGACAGAGAGACAGCAGCAGCACCGCCAACAACACCAACGACAAAAAAACGCACAAAAATGCTGGGACTTGCCACAACCACAACAACTACCATTTTCAACATCACTACCACCGAGACAGCACCAACAACAACAGCAACAACAAAAACAACAACAACAGCAGCAGCAGACCAGAGAAACACCATTCAAATCAAAGAATAAGAAACCGAAAAAGAAAGTGAAAATGATGCAAGAGCCAGAGAAAAAAGAGCAGCCCAAATCTGACTCGACAGGAAAGGTTGCTAGGCAACCTCGAAATACTTCACTTTATTTCGAAAAAGGGAAGTTCAACTTCATTGCAATTAATGCTTTATCATCATCAGAAATCCAAAATATCTTAGCCTATCATGCTCGAAGTCTAAAGAGGATTGTTAACTCAGAGAATGAAGAAAGTGAAAGCATGAAAGACGTTATTGACCTTCTCAGAGCCTTGGCACTTGCTTGCGAAGCGGGTAAATCAGAAAGTTTGAGCAAAATCCTTTCAGCAATTAGAGGTTCTAAATTTCTCAGCCATGACCTACCAAACATTCTCCGGCAAATGCAGCAGCAAGAAGAAGAAGAAGAAGGTATAAATGACCAAGATAAAAATCAAGTGATTGCTGACATGATAAACCTTTACCAGACGTTCCTCTCATCTCTACCAAGTGCTTATTCCGACCTTCCGCTGGACGAAGTGCAAAGGTATTTGAAGAAAATAACAGTCCATGGAAAATCAGAGATTGAACAGAAACTAGATGCTTTGAAGAAAGAACGAGACGAATATATTCACGACATGAGAGCTAAAAGTGCAAAACCTTGTAAGCAGGCGAGCACGAATAAGGAACCACCAAACGACTTCCGAGAACTCCAAATTTGCCCCACCGTTCAAGAATTGGCTTCAGATGAAAAGCCCTTTCTTCGGGCAAATGTCAAGAAGGGTAGTTACGAGGGTGTGGAACACTATCTTGATGTTCAGTTCAGACTTTACAGAGAAGATTTTATCACGCCTTTAAGAGAGGGAATTCGAGAGATCGTCAAGAAAATCCCAAGAGCCGAGAGAGACCAAAATATCAAAACCTACGACAAAGTACAAATAAAGAAAAAGAAATATTCCAGAAACGGTATCATCTACACGCTGCACTTCGATGTATCGAGGTTTAAAACTACGCGATGGGAAAGTTCAAGAAGGCTGATATTTGGATCCTTTCTCTGTCTCTCAAAAGATAACTTTGCAAATATTATATTTGCAACTGTTGCCAATCGAGATCCAAAGGATTTAGCAAAAGGCTTTCTGGATGTAAGCTTTGTCGAAGGCCAAAATGTTCATGGAATCGAACTTCGGAAAGCTGATCAATACGTCATGGCTGAATCCCCTGCATATTTTGAAGCTTACCGCCATGTTTTAACTGCCTTGCAGAGCATGCATGAAGAATGTCTTCCCTTCCAGAAATATCTYGTKGAGTGTAGTAAAGATGTTGATGCGCCTGCGTATTTGAGAGATAASRAGGAACCAGTKARGTATGACCTCAGGGAMGCCYTRGAMGTACCYCACGTACAAGAAGCCGCTGATGTTGCTTTGTTACAGCCTGATCAATGGCCYRACGTCAGTCACCTCCCACTGAATGATTCCCAGTACGAGGCKCTAAGAACTGCCTTGACCAAAGAATTCTCTGTAATCCAGGGACCACCTGGGACAGGAAAGACCTACGTGGGACTGAAAATCGCCCGCTGTCTCTTGACCAATAGTCATGCGTGGAATCCAACACAGGACTCACCTATCYTAATGGTGTGYTTCACTAATCACGCCCTGGATCAGTTCCTGGAAGGTATTCTTGATTTCATGCCGAAAGGAATCATCAGAGTTGGTTCACGCTGCAAAAGTGAAAGGCTGGAAAAGTGCAACTTAAAGAATGACGTAAACATAGGATTTTCACAGCGTTTGGCTAATAGGATAAAACTTGAAAAGCAACAAGGACGGATCGAATCTACCAAGAAGGCCTTTGAAAAGTTAGAAACAAATGATGACATCATTGATTTAAAATCTCTAGAAGACAGCAACTGTATTACCAGTGGGCATTTGGATAATCTATATTACTCTAATCTCTATGACGATCAATGCCAAACTTTGCAGGACGTATTTGAGTCATGGATTTGCAATAAGTCAAACACAAGGTTGAAAATTGACGACAGCGAAGTAACACCTGAGTTTAAACCAGGCTGCCCAGTGCCGAGCCAGATGCAACCAGAAGTAGAAGAGGTACAAAACGATGAAGAACGAACCGCTGCTGACGAACAAGGATGGGGAGAAGCTGATTTTTATACGCAACCAATACCTGATGCTGGAGAAGAATTGGAAAGTTCAGAGGACAGTGATGACATGGATAATATTGATGATAATATAGAACATCCAAAAGATAATCCAGGTGTGCTCAAATGCGTAAGCACGCCTCAAACACCCAATGACGATGAGAAATGTCAAGAAAATCAAGGTTCAAGTGTTCAAGAGAAGACTAATCAAACTTCTGTTAATGGTTCCTTAACGAACAACAACGTAACTTCCCAAGAAGTCCTTGGTGATATAACGGCTCCTCAAGATTTTGAAGAGAGAGAAGACGATGACCAAGGTTGGACAGAGGTAAAAGGAAAAAAGAAAACTGTGGATAAGTCACTGACAGAACCAACGGCATCAAGAGAGATTGAAAGTCAAGGGCCCCCTACACAACAAACAGAGGTTGCAATTGGATTGGAAAGCAAGGCAGATGGTAGTGACGAGGCGTTAGAGACCATCGATATCCAGCAAGAATTGCTACACTTCGAGCAATCACGGCACCTCGTAGGCGACGAAGACCGCTTTCTACCAATCACCACAGAGTTCAGTTTCAGTGACCTAGATGATGAGAACAGAGTTCAAGAAGCTGAAAAAGAAAATGTTGAAACAAACACGGTCAAGGTTATCAAACGAGACGCAGTCATTTCACGAGAATTATTCGATCCATCGACGATCAACAAGATTCTTGAAGATCAGACTTCGGACATGAAAGTAGAGAAGGAAATGCACACCCAAACGGAACCTAATGGGAGAGAGGCAAGTACAGCAAACCATTTTGACATTGATCAAAATAAAGGAAACAAGAAGAAAGAGAAAACCAAGAATAAAACAAACAAGGCTACGCCTGTTGAACTACGAGATGCCAAGACGAGGATGAAAAGCCTTACAAAGATGAGGGACGAGGAAATTGAAGGTATCGAAGACATCTGGAATCTTTCTCGCGATGAACGCCTTCGTTTGTACCTGACTTGGATGGAATTGTTGCAAGAGTATTATAGACAAAAAATAATACAAGAAGAACAAGCATATGATGGAGCGTGTAAAGAGATCGATAACAATCGTATGACAGTGGAAGAAGAGATCTTAAAGAAAGCTAAAGTCATCGGGATGACAACTACTGGTGCAGCCAGATATCACTCAGTGCTTCAGAGAATAAAGCCTCGGATTGTCATCATCGAGGAAGCCGCTGAAGTCTTAGAGGCACATATAATAACGTCATTAGCACGTGACACTGAACAGGTCATTCTGATTGGCGACCACAAGCAGCTTCGACCAAAGCCAACGATGTATAAACTTGCAATAAAGTACAACTTGGAGATATCTTTGTTTGAACGGATGGTCTTGAACAAGATGGACTGCAAGATGCTGTCGATACAGCACAGAATGCGCCCTGAGATTGCACAGCTGACAAAACGTATTTACGAAGATAAAATCGATGATCACGCTTCTGTTACTGAGTTTGAAGACATTCGTGGTATGAAGACTAATTTGTTCTTTCTTGACCACCGCCAAGAAGAATCCTTCCATGGTGGTCTCCAAAGCTTCTCAAATAAACACGAAGCTGAAATGATGGTAGCTTTGTGTAGGTATCTGCTACAGCAAGAGTACAAGCCCAGTCAGATTACTATTTTGACCATGTACACGGGACAGCTTCTTGCATTTAAAGATAAAATGCCACGGAAAGAATTCCAAGGTGTTAGAGTAACAGTTGTTGACAACTTCCAAGGAGAAGAGAATGACATCATTCTTCTTTCTCTTGTGAGAAGCAATACGACTGATAGCATTGGATTCCTCAAGGAGTCAAATAGAATCTGCGTTGCTTTGTCAAGAGCCCGTAAAGGTTTCTATTGCATCGGCAACTTTGCTCTTCTTTCCAAAGACCGCCTCTGGAAAGATATATGTGAGGAACTAAAGAAGAAGGATGCACTCAGTGACACAATGCCACTGGCCTGTACAATACACAGGAACATTACTTTAGTAAGTAAGGCAAGTGATTTCATGAAAGTACCCCTCGGTGGATGTGGAAGTCCTTGTGACTTGCGTTTACCTTGTGGTCATTGCTGTCAACAAAAATGCCATGGAACCGACCCTGAGCACACGAGTAGCCGAAAATGCCAAAGAGCGTGTTCCACGCTATGCCCTGAAGAAACGCATCGATGCCAATTAAGATGTCATCACCCTAAAGAGTGTGATTTCTGCCCTGTTCCAGTGCCCAAAGTTTTCCCCGAATGTGGCCATGAAGTTATGGTTGCTTGTGGATTGGACCCCAAGACACAGATTTGTGATCACCTAGAAAACAAAACTCTCGTTTGTGGACACCAAATAAACGTTCCTTGCTTCATTAATCCACTGAAAAGTTTGAAAATACAGTATTTTGAAATAAGAAGTGAGATTCGGGAGTTGGAATGTGCAAGACGTACACGTAGGAATTATGCCTTTCGACGATTTCAAGAAGACAAAGAAGCAGACGAAGACAATGCGAAATTACATATACTTCGTTGTAAACTATCGATGATTTCAAAGCATGGAGAGTTCTATGAAAGCACATTATTGTGCGAGGAAAAATGCCACTCGTTGTGTAAAAGAGGGATGCACTTCTGCGAGATGACATGCCATTACGGACAAAAATGTGTACCATGCAAAGTTGTAATTGAAAACGAGATCCCCAGGTGTGGTCACAGGGTCCAAGCAGCTTGTGGTATCAATTTTGAAACTTTAGTTTGTCAAGAGGTCTGCAGAAAGTTCCTTGAGTGTGGGCATCCATGCAAGGAAAAATGCATAGTTGACTGCACTACTTACCAATGTCAAGTGCAGTGTCCAAATAAATGTGAAAATAACCACCCTTGTCGGGATACTTGTCATTTTGGCAGGCCATGTGGTGCCTGCATGGTGATCATTGAAAAAGTCCTTCCTAACTGTAACCATACCGCTCGTAGTGAGTGCCATGTTGAAGCCTCCACTATACCTTGCTTGATGCCATGTGAGAGGACCAGGAGTTGTGGACATCCTTGTAAGAAGAAATGCTGCGACCCATGTAACACTTCTAAGTGTAAGATAAAGCAGCTGAGAACTCTCCCATGTAAACACGTAAAGTGGTTGAAGTGCAGCATGGATCCTTCTGAATATCTTTGCAAAGAAGAAGTGACAAAAGAACTGCCTTGCGGTCACAAGATCCAAATGGAGTGCAATATGGATCCATCCCAACTGGAATATGTTTGCAAAGAAGAAGTGACAAACGAACTACCGTGTCATCACAAGTTGCAAATGCAGTGCAACATGGATCCAACTAAATATCTTTGCAAAGAAGAAGTGACAAAAGAACTACCTTGCGGTCACAAGATCCAAATGGAGTGCAATATGGATCCATCCCAACTAGAATATGTTTGCGAAGAAGAAGTGACAAAAGAACTACCGTGTCATCACAAGTTGCAAATGCAGTGCAACATGGATCCATCTAAATATCTTTGCAAAGAAGAAGTGACAAAAGAACTACCTTGCTGTCACAAGATCCAAATGCAGTGCAATATGGATCCATCCAAATATCTTTGTCAACAAGAAATAACAATGGAGCTACCATGTGGTCACAAGATCCAAATGCAATGCAATATGGATCCATCAAAATACCTTTGTCAACAAGAAATTACAAAGGAGCTACCATGTGGTCACAAGACTCAAATGCAGTGCAACATGGATCCATCAAAATACCTTTGTCAACAAGAAATTACAAAGGAGCTACCATGTGGTCACAAGACCCAAATGCAGTGCAATATGGATCCATCCAAATATCTTTGCAAAGAAGAGGTAACAAAGCAATTGACGTGTGGTCATGACAACCAAATGCCCTGTGATTTCAGCTCAAATGATTTCCAGTGCAAAACATTCGTAAGGAAAGAGCTGAAATGTGGCCACATCAAGGAGATATTGTGTTCCACACTCTCGAATGCAACAGAAACAATAGTTTGTGATGAAATTGTTGAGAAAACACTTCCATGTCAACATAATGCAAAGGTACCGTGCTTCAAAGAAACCAAAGATGTCGTGTGTACGAAATTAGTTGAAAGAGAGCTTTCATGTCACCATCTAAAGAAAGTGAGATGCCATGAAAAAAATAATGATAATAAATGCCAAGAAGAAGTACTCAAAACACTACCGTGTAGCCATGTAAAGCAAATGGCTTGTTATGAAAACGCTGATGACCCAAATGTGCAGTGCAATACTGTCGTAACGAAGATACTCGAATGCGGCCATGAAATTGAAGCACCTTGTTATGTGGACATTCAAACAATCCCTTGTGATAAGCTCACAGTTAAGGGTCTTCCTTGTGGAAATGATGTGAAAGCACTTCATGATGATGTCGGTGTAATTTCTAGTGCAGCGGAAACGAACAACCAACCTTTCATTGACCAAGAAGACGAAGACGAACTACCCAGAAACAATGACGCTGCTATCCTCTCGTCTGATCAACACACTACGGTAAACGATGTTCTCCACCTTACAGCAAAGGGTCTTCCTCACCAAGATAATGTAGAAGCAAATCATGGTAGTCGTATCAGTACAATCTCTTGTAAAGAAGTCACAAACAACCAACCTTCTAGTGACCATAAAGAGGAAACACCCAGAAACGAAGACGCTGCTAGACTCTCGCCTGATAAATGCACTTCGGTAAACAATTTTCTTCAGATTAAAGAAAAGGATCTTAATCGCGGGGATGATGTGCAAGCATCTCATGGTAGCCGTGCCAGTGCAATCTCTAGTAAAGAGGTCACGAAAAACCAACCTTCCAATGACCATGAAGATGAAACACCCAGAAACGATGACGCTGCTACCCTCTCGTCTGATAAACATACTACGATAAACAATTTTCTCCAGCTTACAGCGAAGGGTCTTCCTCGCGAAGATGATGTAGAAGCACCTCATGGTAGTCATGTCAGTGCAATCTCTCGTAAAGAGATCACGAAGAAGCAGCCTTTTAGCGACCATGAAGATGAAATAACCAGCAATGTAGAAGTCGTTACACTTTCGTCTGATAAAAACCCTCCGGTAAACAACTTTCTCCAACTTACAGCAAAGGGTCTTCCTCGCGAGGATGATGTGAAAGTACCTCATGGACGTCCTGTCAGTGCAATCTCTTGTGAAGAGGTCAAGAAGAAGCAGCCTTCCAGCGACCATGGATATCAAATAACCAGCAATGTAGAAGTCGTTACACTCTCGTCCGATAAAACCCCTACGGTAAACGATTTTCCCCAGCTTACAGCGAAGGGTCTTCCTTGCGAAGATGGTGTAGAAGCACCTCACGGTAGTCATGGCAGTGCAATCTCTCGTAAAGAGATCACAAAGAAGCAGCCTTCCAGCGACCATGAAGATGAAATAACCAGCAATGTAGAAGTCGTTACAGCGAAGGGTCTTCCTTGCGAAGATGGTGTAGACGCACCTCGCGGTAGTCATGGCAGTGCAATCTCTCGTAAAGAGATCACGAAGAAGCAGCCTTCCAGCGACCATGAAGATGAAATAACCAGCAATGTAGACGTCGTTACACTCTCGTCCGACAAAAACCCTACGGTAAACGATTTTCTCCAACTTACAGCAAAGGATCTTCCTCACGAGGATGATGTGGAAGCACCTCATGGACGTCGTGTCAGTGCAATCTCTTGTAAAGAGGTCACGAAAAACCAACCTTCCAATGACCATGAAGATGAAAAACCCAGGAAAGATGACGCTGCTACCCTCTCGTCTGATAAACACGCTACGGTAAACGATTTTCTCCAACTTACACCAAAGGGTCTTACTCGCGAAGATGATGTAGAACCACGGATCACGAAAAAACAGCCTTCCAGTGGCCATGAAGATGAAATACCCAGCAATGTAGACATCATTACACTTTCGTCTGATAAGCGGACGGTGGCAAACGATATTTTTCTAAATGACAACAAACTTGGAGAACCCTTACAGGAAGACATTTCTTTCAACAAGCAGTCGAAGCATTATCAGGGAAGCCAATTGCGAGGAACACCATGCAATGTAAATCGAAATACAGTGCTGTATGATAAGGAAGGGATCAAACAACTGTCATGTGGCCATCAATACCCGATGTCCTCCAATGAGGATTCAAGTAAAATCTACTGTAGTAGACTGATAAAAAAAGAACTGCCTTGCGGCCATGAAGTAGAAGTATTCTGCAACGATGACGTCAACGCAATATCATGTCATGTACTCATGAAAAAGAAGCTTTCCTGTGGACATGAAGTTGAAGTTCCCTGCAATGTTGATGTTAATACGATTTTGTGTGTCGTACCAGCAAGAAAGAGGCTTCAGTGTGGTCATATGAAAGAGTTACCATGCAGTGCAAACATTACTACTGTGTATTGTGATATACCTGTGGTCAAGCAATTGCCTTGTGATCATGAAATTGAGCTGCCCTCCCACAAGACCCAGGAAGAGTATATCTGTCAACGGCCATGTGAGAGACTTCTTCCATGCAATCACCAATGCAAGCAGAGATGCTCTGAAAAGTGTGACCCAAAGCTTTGCACAGAACCTACAAGCAAGAAAGTACCTTGTCCAAGCAAGCACAAAATAACCGTTCCTTGCAACGTGAAAGTTCAAGAGACATATGTTTGCAACAGAGAAGTGACCAAACCTCTTATCTGTGGTCACCTATGGAAAGGAGAGTGCAGTAAAAGCACTTTGCCGTTTCGCTGTGAGGTAATGGAATCTCGTGTTCTTGCCTGTCCTGCTAAACATCGGGTAAATCTGGCGTGCTACGTAGATGTCAGGAAAATACCTTGTAACGAAAAGTGCTCCAAAACACTTCGCTGTGGCCATCCTTGTACGTTATATTGTGACGAACCTTGTAATCCTAGAAAATGCAATGAACGTGTTCCAAAGACATTTAAGGAGTGTGGTCACACAAAATGGCTGCCTTGCGGAATATTCTACAGAGCAATTTGTCTGTACGAATGTCGTCGACCTCTAAAAGGTTGTGGTCATCCCTGTCGAGGTGTATGTGGTAAACCATGCAACAAGCCGTGTCTTTATGAAGTACTCAAAACACTACCATGTGGCCACAAACTGAAAATGAAATGCTGTGATCCAGTGGAATATGTACGATGTCCTTTACCTTGCACTGAAAAACTAGATTGTGGACATATCTGTACAGGGAACTGTTTGACTTGTAAAGAGAAAGGAGAGCATGAACTGTGTCCACTGCCTTGTGGACGTACTCTCTTGTGCTCTCATCGCTGCAATGACTACTGCTCAGATCCTTGTCCCCGTTGTGACCGAGAATGTCGTGGATGGTGCCCGCATGGCAGGTGTCAAGGAAACTGTAGTGAAACTTGTGAACCGTGCAACATGCCATGTGCCAATACATGCCCTCATCTTACATGCAACAACTTGTGCCATGAGTTGTGTGACCATAATAATCCATGCAATCAGCCTTGCCATAAAATGCATTGGGTTGTGTGGAGAATCCTGTCCAACCTTGTGCTACGTGTGTACGCCGGAGAAAGTGGCGGCTGTTTCACCAAACAGGCAGAGAAACAAAAAATTAAGGTAACAACGAAACAAAACTTATTTAGAAAAACGAGAGTAGCAACTCAGCTTCTGAATGTTATCCCAAGTACCGATTTTCAAGAATAATGTATAGCAATAAATTTGACGATTCAGATACTGGGCTTAGGCAAACTTTGTCTGCCAAAACTTGCATAAACATTGGCTAAACATAAGACCTTTAATATATTTACTTTACAAATGATCCCTCTTGTTACTGCTTGCTTGAACCAACAAATTATTCCTCTTGTTGACACTTGTCTTATTAATTTGATTGATCAGATTCATCCAGCTCAAGGAATGTGGCCATGTCATCGAGGTTAATCGTATGGATGACTGGATGGAAGAGCATCTTGACACAGCAACAAATGGCCAAGCCCAGCCTCATCGCTGTCCCATATGCTCTGTACCAATCTATTTCAGTTTCCGTTATTGCAACATCGTCCGAGAGGCTTTACAAAGGATGTTTGAATCTGACTATTTCAAAGAAGCAAGGGCATATCCGCGACCCCATACCACTGTTAGATTTAATCACAGAAAGAAATCACGTTTTGCCAACGCAAGGTCTTCGTATAATTTTCATTAGATGTAGGTAGGGTATAGGAACACATCAGGACTTTCCAATAAGTTACACAATAAACCAAAAGTACGAGCGAGAAAAATTATGTAATGTGCTCATACCAATGGTAGAGAACGAAGACTACATCACAGAAAGAAATCACGTTTTCTCAACAAAAGACCTTAGTAACAAAATCATGACGCTCCCGAATAGCTAGCTAATGGTAAACTAAAAGTATGATGAAGAATGATGAGGTGAGATCAGCATTCCAAGCAACAACAAAAAACTTTAATTTTTCTTACTTAAGATTTCAGTGCGATACAAAAGGTTAGTTCTTTAGATTTACTTAGTTTAAATCGAAAAGAATTAGATAAGAAGAGATGATCTGTTAACAGCCATTCTATTCTCTCTAGAGTCAGTGGAGTTGGTTTTTCAGGGTGGGCAAAAACGCCAAACATCTAAAAATCAGAAAAAATAAACAAAAAATCGTGAACGCTGACCTTTGTTTAGTAACCAAGATACAAGAACGTTCAAACTGAAATGGAAAATTAGTTAAACAATATCGATTTCAGATGCTTCTTTTGCCACCGTATTTGTTCCAGTGCTGGATGGGTGGGGAATGGGGACAAGTTTTTTAAAAAGTGGACTGACTCTGGAGAAAGTGGGACTGTCAACAGTCTAAGATACTATTCACACTACACTAACTAGCTATCATACTGTCTTTCTCTTACCCTACTTAGTGGTTCTAATGCACCTTGTATGTACCCAGCTTGTAAGTCTGTGTTCACTGCTGCCGTATTTCTGCAAAGAAAACTAACATGTTAAACTTCCAATGTTGAAGGCCTTTTTAAAAAAAAAGTAAATATCCTTTTAACACACTATATCAATGAAAGATTATTATATACTATAACTAGTTAGTAATAAGTAATAAGTTAAGGATACATGACACAATTTTGCTTCAAGATATACATTTTTTTTAAACAGGCTTTATTATTCAAGTGTAAAATCTTCAATTTTTTGAAAAAATTAAGTTCAAAAGTATTTTAGAAAGGGAAATATTAAAAAAAAGCATTTTCAATAGTCTACATTAGGTGTTGCCTCATTGACAGGAGCTGTCGCTCATGAGATATTTGCCATTTTTTAAAGAATTCGCCTTAAAACACAAAGGTCTAACTTAAGAATTAAAAAATAATGATGCACCAAAAGAAAAAAACATACACACTTTGATAGACGACAACGTCTGCGTAATGAGATGCAAGATATTATTATTAATTATTATTATTAATTATTATTTGCTTGTAAAGCGCTTTTGGACATTTTAGGAAAGGGCGCTATATAAATAAAATATTATTATTATTATTTAA